CGCAGCCGTGGAAATAATTTTTTAACTTGTTCAATTATGAAACACAAATATGGGTAGTAGAAGCAAATCTAAAACATGTAAGGTCTATATGGAAACACTTGGTCCCCGTCCTGCAGAATATAGGAGGGACTGGACTAGTCACATAGGCATCAGTCAAGATAAGTTTGAGTTTCCGGTCAAAATATTGGTGAAATTTCTTGTTCTTCAACAGCAGCCAACTCCCAAAGATGCCTGTCTCCTGCAGTTTCTCACAGCCTTGCTTTAAAATATATCTGTTTCTAACGAAAAGTCGACGAGATGTCGCAGAACAAAATACTGAGTGTTTTGTTTGTTCATTTCTTGTATATTTAGGTATCTGTAAACAATCATAGTTGAACTGTTACACTCTCACACAGGAGCATGAATGAAAACCTAAATTCTTCCAAAAACACCTCTAACCCTTTCAGAACTCTTGTAGAAAGAATAATGGACTGTGTTGCTCACAATGCTTTTGAAGTATTAAATTTTATTCCCATATGGGTCAAAGTCATAACCTTCTGAAACAACCCTTCAAGGACCTGGAAAAAAACAAGAGATTTTCTAATTAGGGTGGTTAATAGAAAGCTTTTATACTGTATTCTGCTAACTTCATAGCTTCCAAAGTAGATAACTAGTCCCTTTTAGTTGGACGTAACCAGTGATTTTTTTGTTATGCACTTCACCTTGAACGGTTAACTGAAGACGGTTTGAGGGCGTAGTCGTACTGCTGACTATAGAAGGATGTGGAAGCAGTCAGGTGTCTCCTTCGGACAACCAGCATATGCTGTTTCTCGAGGCCCCGCTAGCGTATGTATAGTAGTAGGTCCCAGGGCAAAGTAACAATCTTAAACTGGATCCCGTGGACAGTCGCTTGTGCGCTATCCAACTGAACAAAACAGTAAGGACTCGAATGGATAGGGAAACTCGCCGTCGCCTATTCATCGTATCTGCCTACGCTGCCGCTGACTCAAGCTCGGATGAGGTAAAGGATGAATTTTACAGAAAGCCTTAATGAAAGCAAGAGCGATGGAAAATACAGCGATAATAGGTAACGGTTTACAACTTTTCAGACTTATCAAGGAAACTGGTACTGGGAATCCATCTGTTAACAAAACTGTCTCAGAAAAAGACGGTCTTAACATTGGATCGATGGACAAAATACTTCAGGGATCAATCCAACTAGCCTTCAGCCACACTTGGTTGTCCACGATCTCCAGTCAACCTGGATGGCGAACCGATATAAGTCCTCCGAGTCTTTACGAAGCTGAGAAAGCTATAGGAAATCTGAAGCAAGAGTGAGCAGCAGGGCCTGACAAGTTTACTCCTAGGATTTTTATGGATGATGGTCCAGTCTCAACAGTTAGATCGACTAAGAACTTAGGTAGAATCAGGGAACTGGATGTAATACCATCTGCCTGTTTTCAATCACTGATTATCCTAGTCTACAAAAACAGCAAAATCCCTCGTAAGGCAACCACAGAGGAATCAGCCTAACCAATTTAGTTTCCAAAATTTGAGCCTTGACAATGCTTCGACGCCTAACTATAGCTCGTGAAGAGTAGAATAAAGAAAACCAGGCTAGTTTCCGATCTGGATGTGACTATATAGACCAATGTTTACTCTTCGTCATGACCTGGAGCATAGGTACATTCAGACGTCCCACAAAAGTATTTCTTGACCTTAAGGTCGCATTCGCGTCTGTATATCGTGAGGCTCTTTAGTAGTGTCAGTCATTTTAAGGAGTTTCAAAGACGTAAATTAACCTCAAACAAGCTCTCTACTCGAACACTACTGGTCAAATGAGAGCTTATAGTGAACTTTCATCGGCATAGGTGCATTCAATATGTGTTCTCTGAAATTCCTCATCACCTTGATCTTTCTCTTCTAAAGTTTATTTCACCACGTTATACTTCTTGAATAATTTCTTCAAACGCTAATCTTATCCATTACTGCCAATACTTCTACTATCTATACTTCGATGGGATTTGTACTGAAAGTTGCTAACGTGATATGACTGACTGACTGAGACGGTCCTGCATGAATTTCTGATTAGGACTGCTTATTCTAGGCTAACATGGACAAACACTTTTATATTGCTCTATTCCTCTTCATAGAGAGAGTTTTAAGTAGTGACTATCTACCTCATTCGTATCTCACAACACAGGAAGCCTATTAAGGTATGAATCGACTCCTTGATTGCATTATCCCAACATGCAGTGACAGAAAATTCATTCATCTTCTGAAAGGATTTTGGATATCTAAAGAAAAATGTGGTTCTCTACAACCTGATTGGTGTACAGTACTGATTGTACTATTCTAGTTCTGAGTCAGCAAGAATCTAGTTACAGGCTTTTCTGGGTGATTTATTGCAATCATTAAACGTAGCTCTTTTCAAGGCTGTTCCTATAGATTTTATACGCTTTTACGCTCAAAACCTTAGTTGTCTTTTGTCTTCCAGCAAGTTTTTAATTAGGCCTTTAATAATATTCAACAGATAGTCAAATAAGACGTTTTTTATTAACCAGTTTCTATAATTAACTGTTTATTACTTAGCCAAACATGTCCGCTGATAAACTACTGGATAATGCAAATCGACTATGGAAAATGTTAGATGAAATGTCTGAGAACGATCCAGCTTGTTATCGAAAATTTATTAGTAAACAAATGGAATCTTTCCGTAAAACCATATCTCCACCCATCATAAGATTTGTTGTTAAGCTTACTCAGAAGGTGAGTGAGGAAATTATTGTATGTCGTTCGTTAATTTAATGATCATTTATTCTTCGTCCATATATCCTAATACGATGGGGATTTTTAAACAAGTTGTTTCATAATCATTTTCGAAATATTTTATAAATGTGGATTCATGATAAGTACTGCTTTGCTATAATTTGACGAACTAGTATGTCAACATCTAATAATACTGTGCACCTTAAAAGCATGGGAAATTCACCAGTCTCATATGTATCACAAACATTGTTCACGGAATCAGGCATTTATAACTTAAATGTTATACACTGAAATCGTAAATCAATCATCGTTAGACCATCATTAGAAACTTGGAAGCACTAGACGGCCGTTTTGTCTTGGTATGTCATAAGCTACTATATTCTACTGATTTACCGTTAATGGAACTTTATCTTATCTTCTGTTAACTTGGCATGTTTAGAACAACGGCGCGTCAAAATTGAATGCAGTTTGTTTTAAGGTTTTTTATATCTCAGATATACTAGTATTGAACAGCAAACAAGCAGCATAGAATGCAACAGTTGTATGAAGTGTTATAGTTCAGGAGTATACTGACCTAGAGAGTAATAAGATTAGGATGTACTGCATTGATATGTAACCATGTTGCTTACTACACGGTTATCGAAGTCGCCATAATTAAAAATAAATAACAAAAACACAGCATAAGTTTCATATCACTGCTCTAAAAACAATAACATATGCATCCGACTGATAAACAATAGTTTCATTGTTAAAAACTCTGACCATGATATTTAATCAGGTTTATTTCATGTTACTAATATATAGCGTAGCCTGTTATTCAATTGCAAAGGGAAACTTACTCTTATAACCAGTGGTCTTATCTTTGAACTCAAATCACTTGGTCTTTTGTTTGTAGTTGTTTCCCGTAAACAACCATCTCTCAGTTTCACTGTATCACTGTACTTCGTCTATCAATCGTTTTTGATTTTTTTTACCTTGGAAATCCGTACATGACTTTTTAAATTCAGTTCACTCTTTTCGAATTGAATTTAATACTACTTATTATACATGAGTAGATTGATTGCATTCCAGTTATTTTTCTGCTTATCATGCCATAACGACTAAGTAGTACGGCTAAATAATATATTACTTCGATACCGATTTGCCCCACTCTCAAATTTTTGATTGTTGTGAGAAATACAAAGTGAAAAAAGTTTTCTTCTTAAGCAGGTATTACCTAATCCGTTTTCAATATTTGCTAATATCCACTGTCATATAAATGCGTCTTGCTTTCTTTCAGAAAGCAGTCATTAATTCAAAAACAACCCATTTGCCTTTTATCCATGGTTTTGAAAGTGTGTCAAACATCTAAACAACCCACAATTCGAAGTTTTTAAATGCTTAATGTTTACCCAGTTAGGGAAGTTACTATCGCATTTCTGAATGAAATCTTTTTAATTGAGGGATTTTAAGCGGAAACTTTGTCATCGATTTATAACTTCCTTTATAAACTGTTCAAGGAATATGTCTTGAGAAAAAGCTGTTAATTTCCTTTCTGTGGCTGTTTGTTTATTTGCTTTTAAAAATTTTGTTTTGTTAAGTCGAATAAACAACCTTTGATAGTCAACTTTTGTGAATGGTCCATTGTTCCAGAACCAGAGTCATCAGATAGTCCAATTTCTGTGAAATGTGGTGAGACGTTTATGATAAATGAAGGTAATTGAATAAATAACTGTTGATTTTATTTTGTATAAGGTTTTACTGAACATTATTTCAATTTCTGAAGTTGCTAAAATCTCAATTAAAGGATGAATGCAATTGTTGTCTGAAAGTTTCGTAAAGATGAGAGATGATGATTGAAGTAAGAAGTTTTAACCACTGGATGCTCACTAAGTGGTCTGAAGGATAATCGCTTTCTGAAAGAATTGTAAGTTTTGGGCTCGATTCCCCAGGATTCCATAAACAGCCAGTTCCAAAGAACCCAATTCTACGGAGAAACAGCTGCTTAGTGTTTCTTGGTCTCAAAATAAAAAGTGAAGCATATTTAAAAATGATGAAAGTATTGAATTCGCTGAACTAGATAGTTTAGTCGTAAAGTTTTGATTTTTCATCTGGAAAACATCTCAATTATTTATGTTAGTTCAGTAGTTCTGAGAACTAATTATGAATTGCGTGTTTTTTTGACTTTAGGGTTGAGTTTGAACTATCTAAGTGTTAACTATATCAAGTTACTATTGATAGTTATTTTCATTTCGTTTATATATTTTCTCCTCTTTGCAGTGAATGCTATCGCATTAGCTTTCAATCCAAAAGTATTTATTGAGCATAATTTTAATGAATCATTGAAAAATGATCAAAAAAATAATGAAGAAGTAATTTATTCCCAATCTGAGCATGATGATGATGATGATGATAATCGTTATCAACTTGTATGGCTTGGATTGAATTATTTAGAAAATGAAAAATCTTTATCAACAATTGAATCTTTAAGTGTAAAATATTCTAATAATCCAATACGTCCGAAACTATTGAAATCATCTGATAAATATGGTAGTGAACAAGAAGTGTTTAATTCACTTGGTTTTTCAATCAAACCAATGAAAACAAATTCAAAAAATAAGAATGACGTTGATGTTATACAAAATTTAACACCAGAAGCTTTAATGAAATTGAGAAATTCAAAATCAACTGAAAATGATGATGATGATGATGTTGTTGTAGACAGTTATGATGCTGATGCATGTTCGAGTTCAACAAAATTATTTAAACCTTCCATAAAAATATCAAACAATGACCAAAATTCATTAGTTAATTCAAATGCGAAGGTTTTGATTGAAGAAATAAAAGAAACATCAATAGATTCACAAGAAACAACACTAGAAATTCCAAATTCAATTCTATGGTCAGCTAAAGTAATTAATTCTGACTCAGTTAAGCAATCAAGCAAGGCTAATCAGTTGAAATTAACTTTTAAACTACCCGGAATAAAATCTGGCAAACAGTGCAACGTCGATTTAAAAGTAGTGAGTAGAATAATGGAATCTCTGATAAATCGTATGATTAATGTTTATAAATAATGTTTCATTTAAATGAAGCTGGAAGCATGAAATCGTTTACACCAGTTTAGTAGTCTAAGCTGTGGCTCGAAGATCGAAAGACAAATATTCTAGACTCCATCTCATTTATTGTTGTAGTTGCACACGTTAGTGATCAGTACCAGACTAGCACTAATCAATTGTAAACTGCGTTGTTCTTGAATGATTCTTCAATTGTACGTATCAGTCCTGGACAAATAAACCACTGGAATCGAACAGATCTCCATAAACAATCCGAATTAAATGTTCTTAAACTGGGAGAATAGAACCTGCTGAAAAAATCAGTATTCTCTGAACTTTCACAGTAGTATAAAAGGTTAGTGACTTAATTGTAAAGATCTTCCACCAGGATATTTGCTCGTCTACTTAGAATATGCCGATGACATAGTTCTATTTGGTGAAGACGCTGACACAATGAAGAATCCTTTAACCATCCCAAGCAACAATTCAAGCATGTTCGGGATGCGATTCTCCCTCTAAGAATGTGAACTGTTACTTTAGGATTGGATTGCGTCGGTACCTGAACCAGTGATAGAGTGAAGTGGCCCAGCGTTTCAACCGCTTCACTTATCTCGAGAGTCTTATCAGTGCTGATGACCTGGTGTGACGAAATCTATTCGCGGATACAGAAGGTTCGACTAGGTTTCGCCAACTTGCACCACTTATGGCGTAGGCGTGATATCCATCTGCTAATCAAAGGACAAGTCTACTGCAAATCAGTTCGCTCTGTCTTAGTATACGTGTGTGCAACATGGCTACTAAGCGTAAAGGATATTCGTAGACTACTAGTATTCGACCATAGGTGTCTTCAAAGCATCGCTCGAATAACCTGGGACCACCGGATAAGCAATGCTAAACAGGTACCAGGTAAGGATGGCAGATCAGTAAATGGACTAGTGAAACTTCGACAGTTGAGATGGTTGGGACATGTGTTACGTATGCCCAACCAATCACCTACTGCTTTGACGAGTGATGCTGTCTACTAAAGGAATAGGCTTCAGCAAGTGATAGCTAAGCCAAAACATGGCACAAATCCATGAAATCATTGAAAACTGGATTGAGTCATATTATTAGGCATAGAATACTTGATTAGGATCCACGAGACAATCGTAACCCATGGTTATAGATTCTGAATGACTTGGGTTAAAAACGCTTGCAACGGCTCAGATGCATCCACTCCTGGCCTTCCCATAAATTCAAAGCTTGTCACTTTCTCGTAACCGTTTATCTTCTTTTTCTAAAAAAGAATACTCCACTGATTGTTGTTTCCTTGAATCTTTTATCCGATCCATAATCTATTCAATTGCTGCTAATACAGAAGATACTTTCTCCACTTCTATAGGGTTTTGCCATCATCAAACCATAACATTTTAATACAACAATTAAATACCTGCTTTTGTATTTCAAAAAGATTCGTTTCAATAATCATCTATAAATTAATTAGGTTTTGTATAATAAACATGTAAAAACATGTAATTTTTCATGACAGTTTATTTACTATTCATCATAAAAATACTGCTGTGATTATTAAATATTAGACTCAAAGCCAACAAATAGAATGTGGAAGAAGTTCATGTTCTGTTTAACTGAAGAATAATTTTTGTGCAGAAAAAAAACACAATCACTACTTTTGAATGATATTTCATTGATAAACAAAATTATCTGACTGAACTTATTTATGTTACACAAAAAAAGAAACACTTTTATTTTTAGTTCAATGTTTTATTGACTCATTTATTTTTAGACTGATTTTCAGTCAGGTTTGTCAATGAATTAATTATCATTTATTTAGTTTGATTTCTTATACACACTAGAAATACATAGATTCTAAGTTTATCTAAAAGTAACTAATACAAAAATCTTGTCCAATTTCTCACTAGAATAGTGTAATACTAGAAAATCATTGAATTAATGAATTACTGACTACATAAATCAAAATGAAACAGCTAATATCGAAATTTACATTACAGGGTTGTGAAGATTGTTAAATTTTTTTGGTCCGTTCGCCTACAATACCGTAGGTCCTGGGTTCGAATCCTGCGGGGTGCAGGAGTCGTGGATGCGCACAGCTGAGGAGTCCCACCATACCAGGACGTAACGGCCATCCAGTGCTTTGAGGTTTCTAACAGTGGTCTAACACTGATCGATTCATAGTTTCAAAAAATATCGAAATTGATATTTTCAATATTTTATTACTTTAAATCCATTGACTTTTGGTTGACAAAATGTTGTGTACTTCTTATATAAATTGAGTAAACTAAACAAAATGGCATTTTTGTTTTACTGATTAGTCTGTAAGATTGAACTTTACTTTCCTCTAAATAGTATTAAACATGAATCATATGCATAAAATTTCATAGTTTGTATATTTTTTTGTTTTGTTTGGTAGAGAAGGATGAATGAGTTAAGTGTGTGGACAAATACTACATAAAATCTTTTAATGTCGAATAGTAGCAACAGTAGTAGTAGTACACTATATCAGCAGTTCAAATTTTATAGAGCATCGTATACACTAGGCTAATAATACCTTAGTTTCAATCATGTTTGTTCTGTTATAATCAATCAGACATCTAATATTTATTTCATCAGCTATATCTCGTTTGAAAATTAAAATTCTAATGATTATCTCATGGGCTAGGTTAAATTCATTACGCTGTTTTACTTGATTTTGGATGAAAATCAATAAGGATGGAAGTAAACTGAATTGTGAATACTTCAGCCATGAATGTTGTTAGATTTACATATGCATAGATTCAGCTAAAAAGAAATTTTAAATATTGACTTTACAGGAAATGCCTAGTAGGATGAAAGATAAGACTTATTTTGAACACTGACAGAAGTTATCTTAAATTCGTTGGATAAAGCGAATGGTATTATTGATTTTCGTAAAAAAATGGTTGATTTAAAGGTTGTTTTTTGTATGTTAATTTTTAACTCATTAGACAAACAGTTGTTATATGTATTTGTCCATACTTGAGACTGATTTTTGAAATGAACCATTTCAAATATTTAAGTTTATGTGGTCTTATGATAATATTGATCAGAATAATAATTGTCTAATCTACCTCACATTGAAAGATATCTGAACAAAAAATAAAGTATCCAATTTAGTAGACCAGTTCTATGTTACTCAAATCCAATGGACTGCGTCCTATATATATATGATGGCAGGTAGACATTGACCTCGATTCTTGAATCCTCTTAGATATTACTGATTCTATAGCTGGTGAAACTCTTCTTCAAGTCATTAAATGTCTTTAAAAAATCATTGAACGAAAAATCCATCTGATACAGTTGTCCAAACCAACGTGTTTTGTGTTGATCTATCAGAAAACCATAAGAGTCTTGATGACACGTTTTGTTTTATAGAATCAATATAAGTTTATACTTTGAAAAAATTTTGATTCATTTTTTTTGAAAAAAACTCG